AGGAGCTCGCTTGCCCTTCCCACCCTGCTGGTCTTATCCCAGTTTTAGACTATGTGGAATGAGGACACATGTCCGCAGCCTGTTCTTCCTCAGGAGCAAGGCTACAAACAAGATTTTTCCCCAATGTTCCTCATTTTTGCGTGATAAGCAGGGAGGTTTGGTGGCTTTGGTGCATTTGTCCGCTCTTAGCGGAGCAGTGGGAGAGATGCTCGGAGTTGTACGGAGCCCCTCTCCTGTTTTTTTTTCCAGGCTGTTTAGCATGGAAGGCTGCAGCGGATGGCTGTCCTCCCAGCTTTCCTCTTGCTTCTCCCCATGTGCTGGGGTCGGTGTGCCCCATCACCGCTGCCAGGCCCCCATGGATGCTTTTGGGGGGCTGTTGGCAGTGGGGGGGAGCGTGCCGAGCTGGCAGTTACTCCTCGACCCCACTGCCTGCTGCCTGGCTGGACTTTGGAGCCCAGCTCTGGCTGAGGGGAGGGGAAACCCCAAAGAAGGAGAAGGAGGAAATGTTTGTTTAATTCCTGACGTAGTGTAAGGTTCAGAGCGAGCAGATTGTGAAACGGCGCGGAGCAGGGGATTGCTTTGCCGGTGGTTTGCAGATAACATGTGCGGAACAGGCAGCTGACATGGGGCTGGAGAGGGGGGGAGGCTTTATTTGTTTGTGCAGTTTGTTTTTAATTTAAATAACCTTTATAATCTCTCCCCCCCCCTCCCCGAATAGTAAGCTATTCCTTATTTATAAAGGCCTCCCCTTATTATTTGGCCTGAAATACAGGCTGTGCTTCAGCTTTTACGATGGGGATTAATTTTTTTTAATGGGCACAGGCAGGGGGAGCGGGCAGCCTGTGCCTCCCCCTGTGTCTGCGTTTCCTCTGCCGTTGTGGGGCTCCGGCTTCCCTCTGCCCGTACCCCAGCCCCGGGGCCAGCCGCCCGCTGCCCTTTCTGCTCTGCTGCTATAAATTAGGCAGCAGTGTGTTCCCAGCTGGAGCACGGCTGGGTAATTGCTCTGGGCAGGTTTATGGTGGGGAGGTGCGAAGTGCCTGCTGTCTGTCTGCCCCCACGGTGGAAGCGGGGCTGCGAGGGGGCTGGGAAGCCGGTGGCGTGGGAGAAGGGGAATGTTTCCTCACCAGGGGGAAAGCGGTGGCGTTATCCATCCCTGGAAGGGTGCAGGTCATGAGGTGTGGGTCTCTGGAGTTTTAAACTCTGCATTTTCCTTATTAAGAAAGGAGGGGGGGGAAGGTGACAAAGGAGCCATTTGCAAATTTCTTGTAATTATCGCAGGGATTTCACAGCAAAGCACAGAGACCGTTGAAGGTGGTTGGGCATACCAGAAACTCTATGAAATAGTTGGATTTGATCAACACTTAATCACTCTCAGACTTCTTGGCTGGGTCTCGCTCGCCCTCTCCTCCATCTCAGAGGGGGCCGGAGGGTGCGGAGTTGGCCTCGCGCCCCTGCTGCCCGCTTCACGTGTCTCGGGTGGGCTCATGGCACATGAGGGCATCTGCAAATACCCAAGGTAAAATTTAGCAGGCATTTAGCATGCTCTCACCATAACAAGAAGGCAGTTGGGCTGCGCCAGGTTGCTGATGCCCCTTTGGGTACAGGACAGTGGATGAAATGCTTTCTGCCCTCCTCCGCGGAGGTGTGTGGAGCATTGTGGAGGGGTTGCTGTCGCAGGCAGAGCTTTTCTGAAGTGGCTCACTCAGGTGCTGTTCAAGAGGCAAGGATGCCTTGTGGTAAGGCTTTATTTGATGCTGTCCCATCTGCTGCTGTCACGCACATTGTCTGCAGGCAGCCACCGCCACCACTGCTGCAAAACTGGCCAGATCTGACTGTTGGCCCCCATGGGGCGAGTGTAGGGAAGCAGTGGGTGAATGGATATACCGAGGATGATACCCTTAATTTTAATTGCCCATAAGTGTATTTTGAGTGTGTGCTTTCCTAAAACCTCTTGCTAATGCTTCCTCTTTGTCTTCCTCATGCAAGCAGCTTCCCTGCTCCTGGCTGTCCAGGCTTATGGTGTCTTCTAGAGGTCTCTTCTTGGGTTTAGAGGAGCTCTGTCCCTGCAGGCACACACACGCACATATTTTTCTTCACCCGGGGCCTTCCCAGCCCAGAGCTACACTGCTCTTGCATTACCTCGTGGGCTGGCATCCAGTTTTGAGCATGGGAGAGGTGCATGTTTTTGATTCTTTGTGCTGAAAACCAGCTTGCTTTTTCTCTAGCAGAACTAAGCAGAAAGCTTCAGATATAGGTAGGAGTTTCCAATTAATTTCATAAAGTTATTAATAAACAGGAACAGTACCTTTTCAGCAGCAGCAACGTTTTGAGAAAGGTTGCTTACAAGCAGTTTATTGATCTAGCAAATAGGTGGATAACACAAGCCTGGGGGTGTATGATAGTTAATGTGTAACCATTAAATAGACTTATTTGGACACTTTTTATGTGTTCGCATAGCAATTAAAGCTTACAAACCTGTGGAGAGTGTGTTTTGTGTGGAGTAAAATGAGAACCTTTATCCCAGGGAAGGTGTTTGTGGAAAAGGTACAGTTTATGTAATTGTATTCCTGTGACTTGACGTAAGCATGGGGCTGTGGGGGGGAAACCCAGCTACTAGAGCTGATTCCTGAGGCCAGTTGCAGTATTGCTGTGTATTGGCTTCCCTCCCAGTGGCCAATTTGGTATATTGAAATCAGTGTCACTCTGTGGGGTGTTTTGTTGTGAGCCTCCTGAACCGAGGGTTGCATCCTTGCTCTAGACAGATGATTTTTTGGCTCTTAACCGTATGTGTGTGTGTGTTCGTGTTAATTTTTTTTTTTGTCTTGGAGCAACTTTGGTGGTTGTGTCAAACTTGCTGGGGAAAAAAAAAAACCCTATAAAATGGTTTCCTGCTGGCTGACCTGATCAAGCAGTAAACATGTCCCATAGCTCTTGAGCTCTGTCCTGGTTAAAATAATTACACAGGAACCCAAGCTTTGTGGGAACATGGAAAAGCCTTGGTTTATCTTCCTTACCTTTTTCTTTCCCATACAGTATGTTTTATGGAAAGCAAAGACAGAGTGAGATGTTGGTGATTCTGTAGGTGGAGTAAGTTGCAGCTCGTCTAATTGACTAAAAGAAATGAAGGCTGAAAACCAGACTTGTTTCAGGTCTTTGCAGCAACACCTTCACACTGGAGCATGTGGATGGTGGGGGAGAAAGGATGGAAGGCGGCCTGGCTGTCTGTGTAATTGCAATTGCAGAGCTCCAGGCAAATATTGACACCAGATTTCTTGGCAGACATGCCATTCCTGAGATGGCCTGGGAGTAAAAGATCCTTCACTGGTGCTCACTGTTGCATGAAGCGGCCCCTCTTGGGATGGTGGAGGTGGTGAGTAAAGGGGGGAGAAGCTCACAAGACTGATGAAGATGAAAAATGTGATGCTAAAGGGGTTTCACCCAGAAATACTACGATACTGCATTATGAGGTCTCTAACAAACGGATGGATGGTCTGACAGACAGCAGAGAGATGGGACACCGTGGCATGTCTGCACTGTCAATCTGGCACAGGTCTGAATGCAGGGGATGCATGCGTCTGCTCTTTGGACTGCAGGACAGCCGTTACTACTTCACATCTGAAAAAAAAACAAACCAATCAACCAACTGCCAGCTACAGAAAGGGAAAATTGTAAAATCCTGTTTTCCATCAGCAGTTGGCTGCCTGGACTTTGCGCTGTGGCAAGGGTGTTTTGCTGAGCATGTGTGAGATAACCTGTCTTCTCTGCTGCAGTTCTAGAGAATACACCAGAGGATTGTTAACATCAGCCAGATACCTCTGTAGTATGGCTTTGTAGTGTAGTCTGGACAAAAGGTTAAATCAGGCGGTCATTTCTGCAGTGTTATTTCCTATACAACACTCTGGAGAAAGTTCAGTATCACTTAGTTAACTTTTTGCAGAGCCATTTCCTGTAGGTTTTGGTAGAGAAAAGCTAGATTATGTGTTTCCAGTTGCAGTAGAGTTATTTTCCCCTATAAAATGCACTACAACTTACTTTTACACATTTTTCATTGGTTCGCAAAAGACTGCGGGGGGGGGGGCTTTGTGTTTGGAAGATAAGGAATTTTTTTTATTTCATACCTTGCTTGCTGTGACAAATTGAGGAAAATGTTTGTTTTTTTTTTTTTTAATGTGACATTGCTGTAGTCATGCCAGGCTTGGAATACAGAGTCTACATTAGCCAATGTTCCCATGCTGCTATAAGTCGGTGGCCTGTCTGGCCCAGGGTCCAGCTTTTGACAATGCCTAGTTTTTGGAAGGACTGAGAAAACTGTGCAGCTAATAGCCAGGTGGTGACCTGCCCAAAGGAGAAGCAGTGTCTCTTCTTCGTGGCTTCATACCTATGCAGCTCACTACTATGTTTGTTTCTCTTCTGTGTTTTTTCAGCCCTGTGATGTGCTATTACCTTCTGGTCTCCCTGGATGTGTCCTCTTACATCACCTCGCCCATGATTCCACTTGTGGGGTGCCTTGACTTCTCCACTGTAGTTTGTCTCAGGATTTCATCTTTTGCATGTGAAATGCTGCTTTTCTTTTCCATCGCCATCTGTGCTTAGAGCAATGCTTTCCACAGGCCCTAAGAATTCTTCTTCTGTTTACTATGAAGTAGTGACATTTCTTCTTACTCTCTTCATAGAGATTAATCTATCTGCTCCCAAAAAGATGTGGTTTGAATTCCCCAAGCAGTGAGCACACCTGTAGCCCTCCCCATGCAATAACAAACCTTGGGAGCACCTTCTGCATTCATGTTTTTTCAAATAATTGCTTTTGGAGTGCAAGGTGTTGGTGCGAAGCCAATGTGCATTTTGCCCCATGAGAGGTGTAGCGTGAGTGAATGGTGAGCTCCTTGGCACGGCGCCCGGGCTTGCAAGGACCACTTGGAAGAGCGAAACGGTATTTCTGTTCTTGGCGTAATTCTAGTGTTAACTCTTCTATTTTTCAGTGTAGCCAGGCGACCGCCCACATGGAGTTTCGGTATGGGACTTTTTTTTAAATTATTTTTCAGAGGCCATCAGGCAATTTTAAGATGACATCTTCTTTGGGTTATGCCTGAGTGGGATGGGTTTGAAGCAAGAGGGAAGGATCTGGTCGTCTTCTAGCATCTTCCTGCAGAATTTGTTGTTGGATGCAGCCCTTGTTCAGATGAAGGGGTTCCCAGTGCTTGAAGATGGGACTGGAGCCTTTGCTGGCGTACGCACACCTTCTGGTGGGCAACACCAAAGATAGTTGTAACAAAAAATTCTGATCTCAAATGCCAAGTGGAGCAGTATGATTCCAGTAATAATACTTAAAGATGAAATGAGCTTATCCAAATACCTTCTGAATCCAGCAGTTTTACAAGAGATTGGGTCCTTAATTGCTTCCTGTACCAAAAGAGTAGGGAAATGTCCCCCTTCCCATCCCTCTAACCATCTACTACATGGAAAAGATAAAAATCTATAGAAGAGAATGTTTGCTCTTTGATTCAGCCTTAATATCTGCCCTCCCTTTGAATTAGCTGTGATGCTTTTAGCTGAGAAATTGCACAAATCTGAGGGAGTTCATTGAATAATAAATCAAGGCATCCATCCAGCGAAGTACATCATAGCCCTTTGAAGTAGATGAAAAAACACCTTCCTGATCTGAAGGCAACACGTGTGCTCAGCTTTGGTGCCTGATGGATGCTAATGCAGTGTTTGAGCTTAGCTCAAATGCACCAACCAGGAGCGTGGAGAGCAGGAGCAAGCGTGGGCGCATTAACTGGCTGCTTCATCTTTGCCTTGCCTGCAGCCCCGTTTGCCCAGGACTCCTGAGATGTTGAGACCTGAAGAGTGAGAAGGTGCAGCCACTGGAAACAGGAGCCATCTTTTAATTCTGGGAAGTCCTGAGATATTGGACTTCAGGAGGAGCAGGCTCATTTGAAGAACTCTCTAAAATTGTATTGGCTATAATTTTTCTTCTTAGTCTTTCTGCACTAATAAAGAAGTCTGGCTTTATAAGTGGAAGGAGTTGAAAAATAGCACCAATAAAAACTGTAAAGCTCTCAAACATTTTTTTTTAATAGTGCTTCTGTAAAAGATGTGGCATTATATGCTGAGGCAGAGCATAATAAAGGTTTTTCCTAGTGTTCTTCACAACTCAGTCATAAGCTGTACAGCTGTCCCAAACTCTCCTGATAAAGCCTTTCTGCCTGTATACATCACTATAGCGGTATTGCCTCGTGCATATATAGATGTGTATGTGTGTGGCTGTATATGCATCTGTAAATTCAAATAGTGAAAGTCATGTACATGTGCAAGTTAAAGTGAGAATGTGTTCTTATTTGTGCCATTCTGATGTATATAAGGAATGTGAAGACTGGCATGGGATGACAAAGGTAACGACTGAAAAGCAGCAATAGATATAGCCCCTGCTTGGCTGCTTTGTGGCATTCTTTGGGCAGAGACTGGAGCACCAGCTTCATCTGCTTTGAAATCTTTGCAGGTATCCTGTTGCTGTCCCACCAGTAAATACCAATACAGGAGTTATGCCAAAAAAGTATGAATGCTTGTTCTGACAAATGGCCCTGCTCTTAACACTGGGGCAGGAATATAGCTTTCTCTAGCACCCTATAAAATAAAAGAGCATCTTCTGGAGGAATGTCATATTCTAGGTCATACTAGGTGACCACTGTAATTACAGTTACATGTATAATCAATGTAAGGACAGTGTCCACCATGTCAAACAGTATTTGACCTGCTGCAAGGGGGTACGCTGTGGACCACCATTTGGAAACTCCTGCATCAGGGCATTGCCTCTGTGATCTGCTGCTTCAGCCTCTTACTAGCCAAAGGTGATAATACAACTATCTGCCATCAAGCGCTCTAGTTTGTGATAAGGTGAGGGTAGAGGAAGCTGTTTTCAGGCTGTGTGCAGAGAAATAAGTTTATTGAGGAGAATAGCTCTGGTTAGGACCTAAAATGTGGAGTAAATTAACTTGAAAGTCTCTTCTGGCTTTTCATTGTCAAGTGAAAGGTAGCTTCATGGTAGATATATTTGCCTTGTTTTGCAGCAAATGCATTATATATAGCTTGGCTTTTATTTCTCTTGATCTAGGTGGAAATGGTTTCTTTAAAATGCAGCTTTTCCATCTTGAAGGTCAATTAAACAGGTTGGAGGTCAAATAGAATAAAGGGGACAGAACATTTGCTTCTTGGTGTATCTATTTCTGTAATGTTATCAGTGCATGTGGTTTTATTTCTAGCATTTTGTTCCAGGGCTTCCTCTAAGACTGAACAAATTGAGTCAGTTGGATGCAGTACAGCTTCCAATTTGGGGTTAGAAATCCATTAAATTGCTCGGTGCTTTATTGGCAATACAAAAGTGCTTGGAATGAAAGTGCATTATGATTGGACATTGATTACTCAAAAGGAGAGGGTGGATGCCTGTGTAAACCACACACCTCCAGCCAGGATAGCCAGCTTAGGCTTTTTTTTGCTTAAAATGTGCATATTTTGCCCTTAAAATGCTATTCTTTATTACAAAGAAAAACTATTTATAAACTGAAAATGGAGAGTCATGTGTTTTTTCACACCTCCAGGGGATTAGAGCTGGCCCTGCAACATATAGGGCTGCCAGTTGCTGTAACTAGTCCTTTAGCTGATGCTTTGAGGTTATATACATCATTCCTTTCCAGACACCCGATCTTTGGATTTGGTCAGCCTCTTCATTTCAGTCCATGGCATTGAAAAGTGCAGGGAGCGTCCTTGCTTGGGTGGATTTTAAACTGAGTAAATTTATGGTGGGCACAGCAAGGCGTCCAGTGTTGTAATTCCACTCAGACTGCTACTAGGATCAGAAAGGGATTTATTTCCATTGTAGAAAGCTGCAGAGTTGTCCAGGTCTTTTGTGAGACTGGAGTTATTACTGATGGGTGGGAAGAGAGGAGCGGAGCCAGGAGTGATGACCAACACCTCTATCCTGGCAGGTACAGCCGAATTGGCTGCTTTGGCTCTGGTCAGTGATCTTGTTAAACTTTGCAGTGCATCTAATGAGAGAGAGCTTCAACTCAATCTATCTCCTGAGATTTTTTCTTAAATGACGGCACAGCAGATGCACTGGGTGGCTGATGAGGAGCAGCCACTGGTGAAATAGTGGTGTAGTGTGGCCAGCCTGGGCCGATGGAGAATGGGACAACAGTGGTTCTTCCTGGGAGATGCCTCTTTACTTTTACACGGTTCCACTGTACGAGGGCAGGAGGAGATGCAGCCCCTCTCTGTGGTGTTCAAAAGCAGTGTCAAGTGCAGGAGAGGCAAGAGCAAGCTGGTGAACCCCCGTACCTGAGCAGCAGGAAAAATCTGCATGTTCTTTTTCAAAGACTCCCCCCCCCCCTCTTTGCCTGACTAGTTTTAACCAGTGCACAAATATTCCTTCATGCTGTGTCCAAGCAAGTGTGTCTTTTGGGGGCAGATTGGTCCTTCCTGATTAACTATTAATGAGAAGAACCATGAGAGAATGAAGCACTGAGCAAACGCTGTGGGAGCGGGTTGCCTGCCCTTTCTTCACCATTAATGATTGACTCTGCTCCGGTGCTGTTGGGCAATGCTGTGCCCCGTGCTACCCCTGGACCAGGCATGGCTGAGCCCTGCTTGCCATAGGCTCTGCAGAGGGATGATGCTGGATCTGTGTGCTGAAACTTCGGCATTCGGCGGTCTCCCTTCCCAGCATGCCGGATATGTGAACACAGTGCTGCTCATCGTTGCCACCATGAGAGCTGTGTCCAGAGATGTATTTACTGTATTAATGCTTCTGATAAATTGCAGCATTGGAGTGGTGGAAAAATGTCTTCTTGGCTAGTTGAGCGCTCTGAGCTTACCAGAATCATAGACTGGTTTAGGTTGGAAGGGACCTCGGAGATCATCAAGTTCCAACCCCCCTGCCATGGGCAGGGATGCCTCCCAGCCCAGGTTCCTCAAAGTCCCATCCAACCTGGCCTTGAACACCTCCAGGGATGGAGCTTCTGCAGCTTCTCTGGGCAACCTGTTCCAGTGCCCTAACACCCTCAAAGTGAAAAATTTCTTCCTAATATTTAATCTAAACCTACCTTCTTCCAGGTTTGAAGCCATTCCCCTTCGTCCTATCACTAAACGCCCTTGTGAAAAGTCCCTCCCCAGCTCTCCTGTTAGGCCCCCTTTAGGTACTGGAAGGTTGCAATAAGGTTTCCCTGGAGCCGTTTCTTCTCCAGGCTGAACTGAAATGCTTGCAGACGTGATTGAAACCACTTGCATGCCCAAAGAGAGTAGAACACATCAGAGTTTGGTGTTTTAGAAGAAAATGTATCTTAAAATATGGGTTATTGGATATTATTGAATGATTGTTGACCTCGGATGTTTTCTTAAACCGTGGAAACTTCTGAAAAGTATTCAGGGAGTTTCTGAACTGTCTCTCTTTTTCCATCCACGCTCGACCTGTAACCCACAGCTGGATTTTGCGAAGTCACGTGGTGGGAGGGTTAGGTTGCCAGCAGTTGAACGTGTTGCTGTGGGTCTTTCCAAGCATCTGAAAAAGCCAGACATTTAACATGGTTTATCTGCTGCAAGTACTTGTGAAAAGTTGCACAACTTTCAGATGAAAATATTTGCTTTGCAGAAGTAGCAGTTTTTTGAAACTGTAAATAGCACTTAGTGCTGATATATCAATGCAGCTCTTGTTATCAGTTAATGGAGGCTTAGCAGTTGTTCTAAGCTAGACATGTATAGTAAATTATATAGTTGTTAATCCTCAATAAACTAGTTTAGTATGTTGAATACACAGTGGGGAACCTTAATTGAAAATGTTAGTAGAGAAGGCATGCCCTTTATTGATTTACCGAAGAAACACAGTGGGGATGGAAGCAGGAGCAATTTGTTTCATGAGTATTCTGTTTATGAGCGAGGCCTCCAGCCCTCGCTTCAGTGGTCTAAGACACAGTGGGCTTTGCCTTGTGGAGGCCAAATCGCTGAGAAAAGAAATTTGCC